GGCGCCCCGGCCCCGCCCACAAGCCCGCCCCCCCGCGCTCCGGCCCCGCCCACAAGCCCGGGCAGCACCTGTGCGAAAAGGGAAATTCTTTATTACTATTGCTGGTGACAAAATAACATTTATACAAATACATCGTCGGAGGGCGGGGGGGGCCGCCGGCACCGTGCTGGGACCCAGAGAGGGAGCCAGCGACCCCGGGACTGAAGGGGCACGGCCAGCACGGCTGGCCTCAGCCCAGAAGGGCCACGGGAGCGCGCGGAGGGGACAGCACGGAGGAGGTCGACGCGCCAGCAGCCCAAAGGCCACGCTGTGAGAGATACAAATACGTGTCCTGGAACAGCACTGAGATCCGGGCAGAGGGAGAGGGTGGTTGCTGGTGTTCGTTGTTTCCCTTTGCTGCGGAGGAAGAGGCGATGACTCCGCCAGGCCGCCGTCCCTTAGCCTTGTCTTCATCATAAAGCTCCGGGGAGATGGCAGGGTTCGCGTCCGAGGATTTCACCCGATACCGGGCCACGCTCTGGGGTAGCATAAGGCTCGGTAGCTTGATGCGACAGGACAGCAGGGCAGAAGACAAACACTGGGAAACAGCTGAAGAGGACGTAATGAAACACAGAGCTGAGAAGTAGAGTTACCACGTTTGGACCTTACTGCTTCGCCACCACCTTCCTCATTCATTTCTCGCTTCTAAACGCTTGTTTTATTCTTCCTGAACCCTCGGATAAGTGGAATAAACATCCTCAAGCACCAGAGAGGAAGCTGCTGCTTCTCTGCAGCAAGAGACATTGAAAATCCTAAGGAAAACACACAAAGGAAGATACTTCCTACCAAAAATGGAGGACAAGGACAGCAGTACCCAGTCCATGCAACAAGAGACGACCTTCCTTCACAAGGTGCAATATGTCAGTCAATCGTGAAAATAGCTGTCCAAGAAAACTGCTTGCATTGATCCAAAGCACTCGCCTCAATGTGAAAAAGAGGTCTTGGTGCTAAGAGGACAAATACTGGAAAGATTTAGCATGAGTTTGTGGGTTTGGTCCCTTTTTTTGTTAGAGCAGAACACAGTATGATCCCAACTCTTTCTTCTTTCCAACTCAACACACAACCTGAGAGAAGCTGTCTGCACAGATACCTCTTCCCTTGCTCAAACTTCAACCTGACAGCATCAACCTGAGACTGACAGCATCTCCCTTACGTTCAGCACCTGGCTAGGACAGACCATCCACCTGAAAGGATGAGATCCCATTGGAATTTCTTCCTAGCTCACTGGCATGAGGAGCTTTGGCCCACCATTAAAGCATCAGAGCACACAATCCAGAAGGAAGATGCTCTGTTAAACCATGTTTACCAAAGACATCATCCCTGCCACAAAGAGAAGACACTTTATAGAAAACACCTAAGAGAAAAAGTAACCTTAGGGAAGTGGCCAAAGTGGGGACAGGAGTTTTGAAACCCCTGACTTTTTGGATTACAATCAACTTTTTCAGTGCTGGGTTGCCCTCTTGTAGGGACTTTTTTTTCCTGCAGCATGCTTTTTGGGCAAAGACCTTCTAATTTGGCAAAGCAAACACATTCGGCTAGAAACTGAGGGGTGCTACTGCTGCCTGCAGGTCTTCCCATTTTCCTCCAGTTTTCCTTTTCTTATTGCTCAATAGCTGATACATTCACCAATGCGAAAGCAACTGCTTCAATGCTTTTTTCTCATCACTACTGGCATCAAATGCCTCATTGACATCTGGCAGAGCGCTCTCCTGCTGCCAGTCGCATTCTGCAAAGCAGCAGCTAGATGGCACCCACACTCCCTACAAATAGCCCGACCGACCGTGCAGAGCTGCACGCTGACTACTACTAACGGCTCACACAAATCGTCATTTGCCCGTACAGTGATTTCTGCTGCTCGCTCTGGCAACAGTCCATCTTCCTTTTAAGAACCTTTACGCAGTGGCATAGAAAACAGATGGGAATCATCACACTGATAAGAAAAGCAAGAGGTTGCTTCATGCAGAAAATGCAATAAAAGTAACATTTAAAGGCACCTGGATTTATACTACATACAAATTCAGCTCAATATGCTCAAATTTCCCAGGGAATAACTAGCAGGCTCTTCAGACGCTATCCTGAGCATCTCAGAACTCTTCAGGATGAAAAGCACACTTCCAGGCAGTTCTGCCTTGTCACAACTAACTTCCAGCAAAACAAATGTTTCCCACCTTCCCTGGCACGGCACGAGGCCTTCTGAAGACAATCGCTGCAAGAGGCATCTCAAGCTCCACCTTACAAGCAGCTTTAACTAATTCTGAAATATCTAAACAAGATTGCCTAAGTGCCTTTAGAGATGCTGGAGGGGATTGATGGTAGCAGAACTGTTCTTCATCTTTCAACCACGTAGACCTTGCCCCTCTGCATTCCCAAGACATTTGTTGTGGTTGCTCATAATTAATGCTCCACCCAGAACAGGTCATTTGTTGTGGTTAATCATAATTAAATATCTTCCCAAGAGCTGGATATTCTTTCATGGCTGCCACCCCACATACTCTCACTGCTTACCCTGATGCCAGCTGATCTTCTACGCCAAAGTCAGTATCGTTAATCTGCGAGGTAAAGGCAGTGGCTTCCTATTGCTGTCTACGCGTTAACAGGCTCCAGGGTGTGATGCCCACCCCACTTAATCCTGCTAAAACATAAACTACACTGAATCTTACTTAACACAATAGGTAACCAACTGTGTCCACGAAGGAGTTAGGTTTCAATTGTCTCAAGGAACAAATAGAACTAATACTAGCAAACATCTCTAGTCTAGACACAACTTAACTGCCACGTACGAGAGACACAACTGACCAGCCCAGCAAGGACACAGGAAAAATGCCAGTCTTGAGAGACACCAAAATAAGCAGAAAAGGGTTTGTGTGGCTGCTGGGAAGACATGGGTCTCCTTTTCCCACTGCATCTTGATACTTCCTATTGCCAGACCCCAAACACAGCTGTGAAATACGCCCTCTGGTCTGGTGGTAACTACCTTGGCAGAAGAACTTCCTAAACAATAAATAGGCAGCTAAGTAGGCAAAGCAGCGATGGGAGCTCAAACTATTAAAGAGAATCATGTAAATTCTCGCTTTGTCAGAATCTCACTCCGTAACACTGAGTGATCTGACCCGGGAAGCTTTTAGCTACTAATATCTCAAATGAAACAAAGCAAATGAGTTCATAACACCACCATCTTTCCTTCCAGCACCTCTGACAGATCATTCAGTTTTAAAATTAGAGAGATTGAAGCCCAGGAAGCTCTGCTTCCTACACATTTTTCAAGGCATTTTCCCACATTCTCCCTTTTTCCTCTAAGCCCCACTAGACTGACACCTCCCCTCCACCCCAGCTAGACTGACAACGTGCCGTCGATCTAAAAAGCAATACACTCTGTAGCAAGAGCCAAAATTCCTACACAAAGGGAAGAAGGAGAAATGGTAAATATAATGAGATTAACTTCAGCTCTAAGGTTGACCCCTGAGCTCCAAAATGCAACAATTTGCTCACAAGAGCTCAAACAGAAATGCTATCAGACTGACTCGATGACCAACCTGGATAAAGCCCCTTTTTTCCCCCCCTATCTCGTATCTCTAGTGAAATCTCTGGCAAGACACAGATTAAACTGTTCTCAGGGGCACCTCAGGCCCCTGGAGGCAGAAGGAAGATTCTTGCACTGCTTAGAAGCTGAATTAGTCTCTTATCTTTCCCACTGGAGAATACTGGGATGCGCCCTAAAAAACAACATCAGCCATGCTACAAACTAAACCACTGTGCACTAAAGAGATGATCTATCCACCCAAAGAAAAGATCTGCTCTTTAGGCATCACTGGCTACTTGAAGGGGTAAAATTTTCCTGCTAAGAAATAGCTTCCCCGAACAATCTGACCTCTTGAAAGAGGGTAGTCACCCAGCAGGTGAAATATCAGAAGCACTAAAGGTGCAACCTAACTATAAAGACTGTAACAGCAAGAATTTTCTAACAGTGCCTCTGATCCATGACCTAACCAAGGTACCAGAAGGTAACCAGAAATAAGAGAGTGAGAGGCAGGATACGTTGAATGTCAGATAGAGAAGTGTTGCAGGGAGATTTCCTTTACTTTCATGAGCTGTCGTCTTTGCTTCATGTTTTCAGCCTCATGCAAGGAGAAAAGGTTTGGCAAGAAGCCTTGTTGCACGAGGCAGCAACTCCAGTCCACTCCTGGGCATCTGGAACGGTTAACAGCATCACAGCATCCAGCGGACTTAGAATCATTACTGTCCTCCATTGTAAGCATAGTCGGCTTTGTTGTGCATAATCAACTTGTTGTCCACAAAGTAAAAGCTGTCTGAGCGGGTCTCGTACGGATTTTCAACCATCAGACGGACTGTGAAAGAGAAAGCTCAATTATATTCAAAAGCCTGCCACACTCCACTGGACAGCACGAAGTCAGAGTGTAAAAAGGACTGCCACTCTGCTGGATTTACCAGGCTGATGCTCTGCCCTACCCAAGTAAGAGAAGCAAACTGCTCCGCTGAGCATGCTTCAAAAGCTCTGGCCTGCCCCTTCCTATTCTTCCTATTCACAGGACAAGTGCTGTCAAAAGCAAACAAAGGGGGATCGAGTAATCTCACACAAGACGACCTTAGAAACTGTCAGAGCCACCACTAGAGCAGAGCAGCAATCACATCTGTGAGCAGAGAGGTAGCAATCTGCAAACAAAAAAGCAGTGGCACTCCCGACACGTACAAAGGCGGGGTACAAACTCCGCGCCTCCCCCTGCACCTAGGCAGCTACAGAAGGGCCCACGTACTCCTGCTCTATCCACCTCCTGAGGTCAGACATACCCTGCGCAATGTATATTTGCAGAGATCTTGGTAGGCTCAAAAACACACCTCTCAGAGAAGAGCCAGTTCTGTTCCAAAGCAGGAGGCTCAAGCCCTAACAAGCAAGTGAAAACAGATGCATGGCTATGAAGAGAACCCTTTTTCAGGGTTCTGTTATCTTCTGGGCTACACTGTTAGGCATCAGACATGTCAGCCCCGTGACTCTGATCAGTTCTTGCAGCCCGTGACTTGACAACACAGGCTGTCTTGGGCTTTCATTTTCAAAGGAGAATTTGCAGCACAAATCTGTAATTCAATCAAGATTACACACAGCTCAAACCAGGAACCTGTATCTATTTCTTTTTGTCACCCCCATCCCCATCACAACTTCTTTCACAAGCAGAGAGAGGGAGAAAATGAGCATATGCACAGATACAAACAAAACACAACTCAGTGTGGGAAAGGAGATACTTACTAAGGTCTTCTGAGAGCTGAGGGAATTCATAAATGTGTTCACATGTGTTCCTGCTACTGGGAATGCAGAAGCCAAAATCAAAGTCAAAGTTCTTCAGCAAGCGATCTCGGAAGTAATGTCTCTCAATCATTCGAAAGTTCGACACTGGCTTTTCTCCCACTGTGAATTCCACTCTGTATGCAAAAAGTAGGAAAAAACAGCTAAGACGACATACCTCTCTTCCTATTGGGAAGAACAGAGCCTTGGACCCAAGACTACACAAGAATCCAACAGATCATTCCAGAAAGAGAGACTTTGATATTTGTAGTGTAAGATGAGTTCTCTCTAGGCTTTGACTCAGTTTTGTTATAAACTGTCAAGTTGTAAATATCTGATTCTCCCTCCTTTCTATGGACTCATACTCACGTTGCACCAACAGTCCGAAGACGGAGAAATGCTGGGGTGAACTGGTAACGAACAAAGCGGCCTGCACTAGCGTCCAGTTCACTGTTGTCATCGTCATCCTCATCATCTTGCTCTAGAAAACACACCAGCTCAGAGTTATTCTGCTAATAGCATACATGTAAGGTAATACTGGCTAGCGGGTATATCAGGACAAGCTGGCTATTACTTAGGCACTGAACCTAAAGGTGTCTAATAATTAGTCTGAGTTCATACTGGCACTAAGTAATAAAGAAAAGATCTGCTATAACAGCTGGTGCAGCCTTGGTGGCTCCAGAGCTGAAACTACCCTCAACCTCACAGGATATCCCCGCTCACAAGTGCTAAAGCACATGAAAGACGCTTTGTACCACAACCAGCCAACAACGGAAGATCTGCAGTTGATAGTACTCCCCCGTGTTACAAAAATCACTTCACGTTTTTACGACAACAAGTTTCTTAGCAGAAGTAAACTCAGTCCTATGCTTAAAGGAGAAGAATTTAGTCACCAGGACATATCAAAGGACCTTTCTGCTTGGTTTGCGTGGGTTCTGCGTTGCAACTTCTCAGCTTGGCAAGCCTCTCTACCCTCCCTGCAATGTTAGCGTGACATACCTGAAGCAGATGGCTTTGCAATTTCAAACAGCACTGTTCCAGTTTCAAGGTCCCGGATCTTAAACCTGGTGAAGTCGATGTTGTAAATGTTGTCTTCGGGTTTGCATAAATAATCTAGAAGAGAAAGAAAACATATAGTAGCATTTCAAAAGATCTCTGAGCAATTACCAGAGGATTTTTTAATTTTTTTTACCAACCCCAGCCCGTTAAGATACATACTGCAAGTTGTTTTGCAGAAGCGTCAGGAAAGCGGGACAAAACTGAGGCTAGAAGAAACAAAGGCACACTAGGTGCCAGGGAGCAGAGCAAGAAAGGGAAGGGATCGGGACAGAAGAGCAGAGATCGGCAGCTCAGAGGGAAAAAGAAAAACCCCAAACCAACCAACCAAACAAAAAAAAAGCGCTCCCCGGCCCGCACTCACTCTCCGTCACCCGGCACAGCCCCAGGACGTGCTCGGGCCGGACGGTCTCCAGCGCCAGCAACTCGGACTCGGTCCACGGCGGCCGCGGCGCCGCGTCGGTCGAGCCGCGCCGCCCCCTCAGGCGGCTGAGCGGCCCCCCGGTCCCTGGCGGCGGCTTCTTCTCCGGCCCCG